CGCAGCCATTGATTGGTTGCTGCTTCCGCTGCTTGCATGTGAATGCACCTTAATAGGTCTGTTCGCGTTGCATGAAATCCCCAAATATTTTTGCACTTAAAATGAGATAGATATATATTTGGCCTTGAAAAGAGAGAAAGCGAAGATGTCGAGTGCCAAAAGTGTAAGCAACGCGAACAGACCTAATTAATATCTCGTAAATTGTCGCGTTTTGAAATCATTTTTGCTGTTATACGTTAATGGGAGGGGTATATGATTACTAAATTTATTAAAACTTATACGTTATATCTAGAATATCCCTTTCTGCCTAGAGGCCTAGATTTATCAGAGAGGCGCAATCGGTGTTACGTATTCTGATTCGCTGTTGCAATCAGATGACTTGGCAGCCATTTATAGTACTAGTGACATATTTCTATTTCATTTTATCCTATACATTCTATCTCACTCTATCTCATTCTTGCTTTTGAACAGTATCCATGCTGACTAAATTGTTATTACTGGTATTATACAGAAAACCCTGATTACTTGTTCGTTAACAGTAGATATATATGCTTCACAATTATCATTTTTTTTCAATGTTTCTTGAATGTAAGAACACAATACTGCAATCGTACCTGCAATTATACAATATCTTATCTTCAAACATTTCTATCTTAATTTACAAACAAGCAATCACAAATGACTTTAAAATTACTTCATTCCAAACAGTTGGAATACTCCATAGATTAAACCATATGAAATTCTTCTACGTATCATACAGAATTATTTATCTGAGTAATGCAATAATATTTTTTTTTAATTTCAAGAATAATTTTATCGAGAATCTTTACCATCGAGTAAAGTTTTACTCCGTTAACAGCAGTGCAATCTTTGTCATATTGACTTAGGGCCACTGTCACCAAGCTCAGTTAACTTAACTGGCCAGTTAGTCCATCGGAATTGATCAATCACATTTATCATTTTGTTTGAAGCAAACAATTCCGATGGACCAAGCTCAGTTAACTAACTGGCCAGTTAAGTTAATTGAGCTTGGTGACAGTGGCCCTTAAGGGGATCCTAAACCGATTACCGAACTTAATCGAGGTCGAGTGCAGACTTTTTTAATTCCAAATTTGATAATAGTGACATCTTTGATTCATTTCTTACATTATATTATATATCGTTCTATCTCACTTAAACGTATACATCTGTCCTTATCTAATATATGCTAGCACCATCTATCGCAACTATTACTACACGGAATTTTGACTCTGTTGACAGTCCCAGTCTTCGCAAAGTACCCGTATATACGTATTTTCTATTCGGTAGGATTACTTTCCTTCTAGACTTTCAATCTTAGTTCTATAAACTTGGTATCGTTCGTTACAATAATGTGACCTCAGACCTATGCTTATTTTCAAAATATAAACTATAAAACTCTTGTATGAAGCAAATATAGACCTGAGGTGTCAGCTGTACGAGCTAAAAGTAAGCGAATTTTTAAACTTTTCTTCGATTTTCTCCTAAAATCCGATACAGCTGAGGTCTTATTTGTGCGTACTTTAATTCCGTAAAAACAATTTTTTGCAATCCGTCAATTCAATTCGGAGATATTTCACCGAATGGAAATGATGGTAAAGTAGAACAGCTTTAGCATCCCCTTAACTTTAGAGACAAAAACAAAAATTATTAAAGTTGAACTTGTATAATATACATATTATCGAATCTTTCCAATTTAATTTCCGAACATCAAAGAAATATTAAACAAAGTATCATTATAATAATTTTATATGGAATATCAAATTTTAAAGTAATTTACACATGGTTTTTGGTAACTTTTTATTTGTTAGAATTTATATGTTCATCAATAAATAAAAGAAGGGCAATGAGCCAATTGTAATGTAAGATCTTTAATAAATGTATATATACAAACGTTTCGACTCCGATCATTTTCAATGTAAAATAACAAACACTCTTACATACATTATCAGAAAATTCGGTCAAATTATATTGTCCAGTGAAAAATTAGTTTTTGTATTCATAAAATGATGCATCATTGAGACAATATGAGATTGTAGAATTGCGAAAAGTGAGATGTGATCTCTTTTGATAGTTTTACATATGGGCCACATTTTATGAATACAACTAATTTTTCAGGCGGAGAATTTGCGATATCTCCAACATAATTAACTAAGAAAATAATTTCTCTATCTCGTTTCACGCGAAAAGCAGATGATGATTGTCGGAATTTTATGTGAAAAGTTGCAAATCGACCTAAAACAAATTTGCAAACAACAATGGCTGTAACACACGAAGAAACGTAAGGAATAACTAACGGAGATCAAAAATTTTTTTGATAGTATTTTCATATTTTTGAAATTTTCCGATTGTGCTTCAGTTACTGCTCAAATTTTATTGCTTATATTCTTTGTATACCGCGGCCCTAACATCAACTTGTACAATATACTTTTCGTAATAAATTTAGAAGCAATTATCTCGATCCTGTGTTGCTTTAAAAGGATCAATGATACTTTCTTTTCTTGCAATACAAAGTTAAAAGAATACAGAGGAAGAAGACAACTTTCTATGTTATCCTTACTTACATTCGTGAATAACAGCGATCATAAATCCAAGCAACAAACTGAAACTTTTTGTCGCCATTTTCCCAGTGGGAAATGACAATGGAATCGATGTCGAATCGACGTCGATTCCATTGTCATTTCTCACTGGGTTGAGCTATAAATGGGGCAAATGATGTCGGTTTGTTTCTTGGAAATGATACGTTGGCTACGTTTACACCGTGCGCTTAGTCCGCGATCTAGATGTTAAATGTTTTTGTTTAATCTATGAGATAAACAAGGCATCTATTGTATAGGCACGGTGTAAACGTAATCATTGTGGCATTAGGATAATGGTATTTCCGATCGTAATCTAATAAAGATTCTAAAGGCTCCATTTTCTTATTATGAAGAAACTTATAGAAGATGAAAGAGAAGAAATTTACATATCAAGAACATTATACAAATATCTCTGAGAACATTAAATATCTCTGAGAGCGAGCATGGCAGAGCAGACAGCGCACTGGTCTGCTATGCTAGAGATCCCGGGTTCGATTCCCGGCAGAATCAAAAATATTTTCATATGCTCGTATCTCCTCTCAGGAGGCAACGGCAAATCACCAAGAGTATCTTTGCCAAGATCACTTCTCTAATAAAAATTTCGTCGCTCGGAATCGACGTTAAACTCTGTAGGTCCCATACTCCCATATGACTGTGTACAACCAACGTACGCACTACAGGCATATGAGAGAAGTCTCCACGCTCGGCCACGATCAGCAGCAATACTGATACTAAGACTGCAATGATGATAACTTTACATTGCTATGTTAGAGAAGAAATTAATTTGTTGTTGTAACGATAGAAAAAGATTCTATACAATAGACATGATAATGATTTACACGCGTTATTAAATACAATATGTACAAATATGTATTAAATAATAATTGTATAATATACATGAAAAAGCACTTTGATTATACTTGACTCAAAACCACACAAGCACACTTGTATCGACTCTGAAGGAAAAAGTTAATCGGCCTTCCGTTTTCAATCAGTACACATCTAATTAAATACAATATGTACAAATATGTATTAAATAATAATTGTATATTATAAGCCGATTAACTTTTTCCTTCAGAGTCGATACAAGTGTGCTTGTGTGGTTTTAAGCCAAGTACACAGTCAAGGTGCTTTTTCATGGGCGTCAGTTGACGCGTTGATGCTCAAAATCAGGTAAGGGTAAGATTAGATTATCATAAATGACGTCAATATTTTGACGCGCGAATGAAAAAGGTTTCGCGCGTCGTACTTTTATAATTCGCGTAGAGAATAAGTTATATTTGTGTAATCTGTGTAACTGATTTGTTGAAGAGGCCGAAATTCAACGAGTCGAAGAAGAAAAAAACCTGATTTGTTGTAGCTAACGAAAAAATGTGTTCACCATTGATGAAACATTTTCAATGGATGGTAGAATGTGTGAATATTGTTAATTCTAAAAATCATGAAATCCAAAAAAGAAATTATAGCAGCAGCAACTGCCATGATAGCCGCAACTGAAGAAAATGAACGGAGGAAATATAAAAAAAGGAAATACTGGATTGTGTGTGTGTGTGTGCTGATTCTTATCAGAATCGTGTAGCACATGGATTTTATCCATGTGATATATTATATTTTTGTGAAATCTAATGTTAATGAATCTATGCATTATCGTACTCGCGAATTATTACAAGTTTGCAAGTTGGTTTGTCGTCTTACAAGATAATTTATTTCGTATATACAACTCTACAATTCTGGAAAATGTATATACTCTTGATTGCGAATACCACAACTCTCTAAATAGAATATACTACAAGATCGTTTCCCTAATAGATTTCCGATCCACAAAGACAAAGGCAGGTCACAGCAGGTCACTAGTATTATGAATTCCCAAAGATCAGAAGCTCCAGTGCAAGCTTCCGCGAGGAAAGGCCTTATTTTTTGATAATATTTTGATATTATAATAATAAAGTCCTACGATCAAAACATTGCAGTAACTTCGCATAACAAAGTCTGAGCTCGAGGTGTTCAGCACAGCGTCAATTTTGAACGTCCTAAGAAATAGATGTCCTCAGACGAAAGACTGACTTCAAAACTAATACAATTCAAATAATCAAATTACTTTCTTTAGCAAAATCAATCAGACATTTCATCACTTTGTGAAGTTGCCCATGACAACTAAACTAATATCAGAAAAAGAGGGAAAACAATTTAAATTAATCAAAGAAATAATCAATTTAGACTGACAAACCAAAACAGAGAAATCAGCGAGATAACGAGATGGTATTATCGGGGTAACAAGAGCGAGGTGGTGAGAGGATGCGTGGGAAGGGTGGATTTTCGTTACCACCGCCACCACCGTCCACCAACGGCACCAGCACGGTATAAAGTGGTCGCGTGCTTGAAGCGCGGTCACTCTGTCGCGGAGACATTGAGGTGACGTTATCTGAAGAGAAAGAGAGGAAAGAGATCTTTACTCAAAGTGCCATTCTTCTGGGACGAGGGTAGAAGATCAAGTGATACACCAGTCTGCACGAGGTATAAACTTCCGTTTCCGAATTTCTGCGCGATTTTTTAACACTTTCTATCCCACCAAAGATCTCTTCGCGGAAGAAGATAATTGATTATATGAACATAAATCTCTATATATTGACGTAAATTAAATAACAAAAATTATAGGAAAAATGAAAAAGAAATAAATTTACAGAAAAATATCATTCTATTCATAAGAAAAGTGATTACTTAATTTACTTTCTTCTTCTTAAATAATTTAACAAAGAATATTTTCTTGATAATAATTTTAAAATATATTTATTTTATAAATTTTAGATAAATCATCATTATGTACTCAAAATAAGAATTTATATCTTTTTAAGAATTGATCGAAGGAGCTACTTTATATAATACTATAAGCAAGTCGAATTTATTTTAATTTAATAATCTTGATTGAAGTGTTAAACTTACTAGGAGTCAGAATATATTTTGAATAAATTTGATGCTTTTGAACTTATGATAGTTTTGCAAATATACGAACTTTTAAAATACTTGAAAAAGTAATTCTTACTTGCCCTATAAGCGCAAAATGTTCCTAGAATGTTACATGAATATTATTAAAAAATTAAAATAATGTTATTATAATATTTCGAAAATATCATAAATATTTGTTTAATATTACAGGAGTATTCTATA